AAGATAAATGATGACTGTCAGTGTGTGCAGAGGCCTACACGAAGCAGAGCCAAAGAAACCCAGGCCTCTACACCTGTGTTTCCTTCTGGTTACTAGATTACCTAATGTACGTACCAGAACAAGAATCAATGCAGAAATAACTATACACCCAAATTCACATTTTCTTTGATCTACTATCTATACAATGAAATATTTTACGTATTTCTTAAATTTTTATGTTATTATCACAAAAGTGCTATAACCAAGTGACACATTATTTGGAAAAGAAAAACATAGGAGCAATCCATATTTTCATCATTCTAAATAACAATGGCAATGATCACCATCTCCTGGGAGGATTCCATGAAGGCTACACATATCCTGCTTACCGCCATGTTTCTAATTCTGTAAAAATGTAAATATCTGACTGAATGACTGATGTGTCATTTTGGTGTAGAGAACTCAAAATTCAAACCTACTTGAACTGTCTACTATATACCTACTCGGCAACTTAGAGGATTTCAATTTCAGTCCATGTAAAGCTTTGGTTGTTCCTGCTGGAGATGAGCAGAAAAAGGCAGTCCTGGTAACAGACTAGGTGAAAGGCAGAAAAGTCTATTTTTTTTTTTCAGTGAAGCTTTGGGAAAGATAATAAAGCAAGGAGAAAGTAAACCCGACCCTCAGAAGCACCATCGATGACACGGGTGAGAAGACTGACCGAGGCAGAGCAGAGGAGGGCACACAAAATGTGGGATCATAAACCCAAAAGGCGTCACACGTTTCATGGACAATGAAGGGCCAAGGAATGACTTCTAGCATAAGTGATATGTGCCACGTGGCAAAATCAATGTGTCGGTATCTTGTTAGAACTGGAAGTGGAAGCCACCTAGACAACTTTCTGATGAGCAAAGGAAAACGTGGAACAGTTAAATCAGAATCTCAGCTTGGCATCTGGAAAGGCGTCAAGGTCACAGATGTCAGGGGGAATCTGAGGAGCTGTTCTAGGTTGAAAGACACTAAATGCAAAGCACAGGTCTGACCTGGAACCCTTTGCTCTTAAAAGCACATTATTGAGACAACTGGAGAAACTCAGGTGGGTTTAAAGATTAGATGGTGGTGACACATCAGTGTTAATTTCCTAATCTGGGGACTTGCAATGTGATTAGGTAAGAAAATGCTCCTTTATGTTAAAAATACACACCAAAGTATTCAGAGATATGGGGCATTGTGTTGGCAACTTCATCCCAATGTTCATGAAAAAAAGTTTTTGTATGGTACTTGTAACTTTTCTGTAAGTTTGAAATTACCTCAAAAGAAAAAAATTATAGGCGCTAAGGGTGGGTCTGGGCATCAGTATTTTAAAAATGGCTTAGGTGATGCCAATGTGCAACCAAAGCCAGAAAATGCTGCTTCAGGAAGGTCTTTATCATCATGCAAGAAAAAAGGGTTACATACTTTTGCACTGAGTACATGAACCATAATTTATTTAACCAAACTCTTCCCATTTTTCCTTCAGAAGTGGTTTATTGAAGAGTTTTTATATTCCAGGCAAGATAGGACCTCGTCCCTATGAGTACTCAGTCTCAACAGGAAATAGATCAAATAGATATAAGCAAACAGACAATGTGCTGTAATAACACCAATACAATTGCTATGGGCTACGCTGCTGGAGCAGAGGGAAGATGCTATGAACACACACATATGGACTTCGATGCAGACTACGGGTGCCACACAAGATTTCTCAGAGGAGGAATGGCAGACAGACCTTTAGACACACACACACTGTTTCCGATTTCAATTATCACAAATACTCCCACCACGAACACCTGTGCAGGTGACTTTCCATTTTTCAGTCCTGCCGCCACCCTCCTCCTTTGGCTAGATTCTTAGAAGTGGAATTCTGGGACCAACTGTATGGAATAACTCCATAGCTTTTAATACCTGCTGTCCTTTAGCGAGCTATCACCAGCAACATAAGGGCGTCCATTATACGGTAGCCTTACCGGAAGTGGGCATCGATCATTTAAAATTTCTTTGCCATTAGTAGAAAACAAGTATTTCTCTGTTAGTTAGGTAAAACATTTCCCCATTAACCTTTTCTTTAAAGCACAAATTTAAGATCTTTATAGTTACAACCAATGGAGTGTCAGGGAGCGTAACCAGTGAAACGACATTCTAGAATGTCTCGTGCTATAGCTGCTGTCATCTGTTCCTATAAACCACACCAGTGGCTGTGTCACCATTACAGGCATCCAAAGAAATCAGACTTCTCTATTCCTGCTAAGATCCTTGGCCTCTAAAACTAATTACAAGCTCAATGAAGAGGGAGGAAACGTCTTGTTTGGTTTTGAAATCCCATGACAATGTCAGCAAGTAAAACATACTCTGTAACGGTTTGTCATAAGAATAAGTAGAAAAAAATTATGAACGGTGACAAAATATGAATTGAAACCATACTTCCTGAGCTCTACACATTTGGCCCAAACTTAGCTGAGTAAACATCACATGACGGAAAGATTAAGAAGCCACTTGTTTCCCCCTCTCCTTTCTTGCCGTGCCAGTCGGGAGCCCAGAGTTCCCGTGTGCCTGTGACAGTTCTGGTTCGTACCTTTTGTCCTAATATCTTGTCTGATTGGAGTTGCCTTTCAAACAGGTCCTGGGTTGGGCTAGAAGGTTTATGGTCACCCTACAGCTAAAGGATGTCCCCTTACTGAATAGCAGAACTAAGTACAACGTGCTTCCCTAATCAGAGAGCTTGTCTTTGTGTCACTCTGAACTTCACTTTGAAGACCTAGGAGCAGATAACTCTTCTGGCCCCTAAGTAGTTTATAATACTTGAACTTTTAAAGCCAAGTCATCTACAAATAGCTAATCCCTAATTAAGAGAACACTCCATGGTTATATCAGCATTCTTGATTCCATGCTAAGAAGTGAGGCATGGAAAGAAAAAGTGACTTACCCAGGGTCACATCAAGTATGAAGTCATCAGCCACAGGGCAGGAGGCTGTTCGAGCACCAACTTGTGGTTTCTGATTAATTCTCTAAATCACACAGTCATTAATTTTCAATTAAATCTCCTGTGCAGTTAGTTTAGAAAGATTTTCATTATTTAGTAAATGGCTTGTAAACTGCAGGCAGTAATAATCGATTTCAAACTGTAGGAGTAAAGTGACAGCATACCTCGGATAATACTTTTTAATGGGCATAAATTTCATGATTAATAATATTTTAGTTTCACTGGCCAGCACTATGCATTCAAATCTAGACTATAGATTCTAAGCTACAGATGAAAATGTAAAATGAACATTTAATCCTTTGGGTAATTAAAAAATGAAGTTGGTTACATTTTCACATTTCGCAAGTATGTCAATATTTCATACAACGGTGCAAAGTTTAGATAAGACGGGCGGATTAAAATCTTGGATTATGGGAGAAAATCTTAATGGAGCTAATAAAGTCACTCTATGGCAACAAAACACAACTGATGAGAATAAATTTAATAGGCTATACACAAGAACCATATTAAATTTAAAAACACTCTACACCTTGCATAAAAGGGGGAGGAGTAACATATATGCAGCTGGAGAGACTCACTATTAGAGACAAGTCACTCCCACATTGATTTATAAACATACTGTAATGTTAGTCAAAGTCTCATTTGCATCCTGTGGGGGTGGGGTAAAGAATTTGACAAACTCACGTGAAGTTCACGCAGAGGAATAAATTTAAGAGAATAGCCAAGAAAACTTTCTTAAAAGTACAAATAAATAAACTGCAATAATAAAAATAACATTTTGGGCCGGCCGAGTGGCTCAGTTGGTTAAGAGCTTGCTCAAGAGTTTCAGCTCTGAGCAACAGCGGTTCGATGCCCGGCCCGAGCTGAGCTGCCGCTGAGCTGCCAACAGGTGGCAGGATGGCTCGGCTAAAACAAAATAAATAAATAACATTTTGCTGGCACAGGCCCATGGAATAAAACTGAAAGTTCAGAAAAGGCACAGGTGTATGTAAGCATCCAATAATTGAGAAATAATGAAAGGAAGGAAGGATTGAATAAACAAAGTTGGAGCAGCTGAATAGATTTATATGTCAATGTAAGTTTCAGATGGATAGAACATTTCAAGGCAAGAAAATGAAAACAAAATGGGGAAGGATTTTCTACATAAGATTTCAAAGGTAGAAATAAAAAACTGATAGATTTGACATAAAACAAACAATACTAAAATAAATATGCATTATGGATATCAATCATTTGTCATTTATACTATAATCTCATAAATTTATCATTTGTCTTTTCACTTTATTAGTTCCTTTTGACGTACAAAAATTTTAAAAACTAACCTAAACTAAAATATTAATCCTTTCTTTAAAGTTCTTTGCTTTGGCCTAGAAATGATTTTCTTAACCTCAAACCAGACCAGTTTTCACTTATATTTTCTTATAATTTTTTCACTCTTATTTTGTCACTTAAATAGATGAAAGTTCAAAACATGGCTCTGTCCTATGTCAGCTGTTTGATTTAAAGATGTTACTTAACCTGTCTAAGTCTCAATTTCATTTTCCTGAATAAACTGATATAATAATACCCACCTATTAGAGCTGCTGTGGAGATTACAAGAAATACTTTATAACAAAGCATTTATCATGGTAGAATCTGATACATGTAAAGGGGCAATAAATGGTAGCTATGACTTTCAATGCTATCACATTACATATTGGACTTCTTAATTTCACTGATATATTTTCATGACTACCAACTTCTGGTGATATGGTATTTTTAGCTGATTTTAAAACAAAGTTCACATTTTTTAATACAGTTTTTTACTTTTAATTATTTTTAAACCATAATCTATGCCAATCAGAAAAATGCCTTACTGCTTTGAAGACCATCCCGTTATACAGAGCATCCTTATCAGATGGCCAAGTGACAGTGTCACCCAGGGGTACTAAAAGGTTTCCTACACCCTGGACCTGCTGAGCTCCTTTTTGAGCTTTGAAAGACACACAGGATGCTTACGTCTTACCTCTAACAGGCCGTCCTGTGGCAGATCGGTGCAGTGGACGGCGTTCTGGATCTTAGTTTTGCCGAAGATTGCTCTGAGGGTTCCAGGACGCAAGTGCCGGGCGATTTCCTATGAAATACACATTCGCAGGCAGGTTAACGTCAGTTATACAGTGTTAACAAGAAAAACGCTTGCTCTGTGAAACGCCTGGATTAGTTGTTTATGGAATACATGCATACACTGATGGGATTGACTTTTCCCGGAAATAGCCTGAATGTACAGAAACGGAGACAAATGTTGAGGTCACTCGTAAGGCTTTCCTGTGGACCAACATAAAGCCCACTGCAAACTACACTAGGGGGTAATAATAATGTCATCTCTCCTCATCAACAGATTACAGGAGTCATATAAAACGTGGACCCCATTCATTCCTGTGGAAGACTTGTAGTCATAACGACAACAGATTTAACAACTTGATTTAAAATGAACTAGTTTGATGGCATTGATTTTAAAAGCTTTTTTAAAATTTTATTTTGACAGTTGTATCAGCTTAATACTAGCTCACGTTTAGGGGGAAAAGGTTTACAAATAACTCATAAAATTGTGGGTAAAGGAAGCAAGAAGTTAAAAAATTAACGATGTGGGAGTATTAATGACCTACTTGGTCTTTCTTTTATTCTAACTTAAAAATATTCAAGAATCCCATTTTAATTTTGAAATATATCATACATACAAAAAGGTATATATATATATATATATACATATATATATATATATATATAAAATAAAACGAATACCTGTGTACCCACCATTAAGTGGAATTAAAATATTACACTTTAAAGTCCCCTGTGTACCCCATCCTCATTCCTGCCCAACACGATTTCCACCTAGAAGCAACCACTGATTTAAATTGCACTTAAAGATTCCCTTGTTTTGTTTAGTGTTAAAACACTGTTTTTCAGATCTGTCCATGTTAATGTGTATGCTGTAATTCATTTTTTATTACTATGTAGACTCCAATGTGTGACAGAACAGACTTGATCCATTTCCCTGTTGACGAACACTCAAACATTCTACTCATTTCTTCTCTCCCTCTCTCTGTCCCTTTCACATACACACAATCACAAACAATTCTGCTACAAGCGTCCTTGTAGGTGGTATGGTGCCCAAGTATGAGTAACTCTCGGTTTTACTAAGTGCTGCCAAACCATTCTCTTAAGTGGTTGGAACAATTGGCCCTCAGCATCAATGCACAAAACTTCCCACTCTCCCCCGAAGACCAACATTTGATACTGGCTGACTTCTTAATTTTGCCATTCTGGTGGGTGTGAAATGGTATCTCGTATTCTTAGTTCAAATTTCCCTGATTACTAAAGAAGTAGAGTGTTTTGCCATATATATCTGCATCTGTAAAATGCCTATTCTTGTCTTTTATCGATTTTTTTATTGGGTCGTTCTTTTTCTTTTTATTATTCATAATATATTCTAAATTCTCCTTTTCTTCTGTTATACATGATGCAAATATCATTTCCCAGTATGTAGCTTATCTTTGACTTTTCTTTACTATGTTTTGTGATGAACAGAAATACTACATTTTAATGGAATTAAGTTTATCGATCTTTTAATTTACGATTGTGCTTTTTGGTTTCTTAAGGAATCATTCCCTACTCTAAGACCATACCAGTGCTCTTCTCTATTGCCCCTAAAATCTTTCAAGTTTTATCTTTCACATTAAGTTCTTTATCTGCCTAGAATTATTGACTTGTGACTACAACGGGAGGTAGAAATCCACTTTCTTTTTTCTCACATGTATATTTGATTGTCCTAGTACCATGTATTGAATAGTTTCCCACTTTCCCCACCAATCTCTAATGGTAGCTCTGTTATAAATAAGGTTTCCATGTATGTATGGCTCTGTTTTAGTTTGCCATTCAGTTCCACTGGGCTTTTTGTCTAGTCTTACATCTATACTATACTGTTTCATTATGACTTTATAATAGGTCTTTATCTGGTAGGGCAAGTTCCCCAGTCTTTGGTTTTGAACACAGTAAGTTTGGTTGCCTATTAGATATCTGAGTGAAGATGTCAAATACATGGTTGGTCAGAAGTCTAGAGTACAGAGGACCCTTCCGCACTGCATATAACAATTTGGGAGTCAATAGCCTATATTTGGTATATATGGTGTTTAAAGTGGATCAGTTGGATGATGTCATGAAGGCAATAATAATAAACAGAGGAGAGAATACCAGGGGCATTATATCATTAAAAAGTTAAGAAGATGAGTAGAGATAAGCAAAGGAGACTGAGAAAGAATGGCTAGCAAGGTCAGAAGAAATCCAGGAGAGTCCTTTCAGGAAAATAGTGGAGAAAGCTGTCAAGGACAGAGAGTGGTCCATAGTGTCAAATGTGGCTGACAGATCACGGAGGGTAAAAACTGGGAACTGGACACTAAATTTATCAATACAGTCACTGATGTCAGTTTCAGAGGAGCGGAGAGGAGCAAGAGGCCGATTCTGTCAAGAGAAAAATGGGAGTGGAGTAACTGGCAAAGCCACGGCAGGCTTTTGAGGAACTTGGTTGCAGAGGACGCAGGGAAATGGGGAAGTAACTGGAGAGGGAAGTGTGATCAAAGGAGGTTTTCTTCCCCCAGAGGGAGAGAATGTTGTTTTCAAGTGGAAAAATAATAGCACACTCATATGCTGGTGGAAGTGATCCAACAAAGGGAAAAGCTGCTGAAGCAGGGGGAGAAAATGGCTGAAGTGATGGGATGCAGTGCTGGGTGGAGGAGCTGGCCTCAGTGAGCGCACGGAACATTCACCCCGAGCATCGCGACAGCATGTGGGCACAGCTGCAGGCAGGTGGGGACATGTAGTGGTGGGTCCTTTCTCTATTGTAAATTTTTATCGAGATATAATTTACGTACCATAACATGTATTGGTTTTCAGTGTACTGTCCCATGAATTTTGTCACGTCTATACTCACGTAATCATCATCCTAAACAAGATACAGTAAAACCTTGGACTGCGAGTAACGTGGTTTGCGAGTGTTCCGCAAGGCGAGCAAATATTTCTAATATATTTTAACATGGTAAAACGAGCGATGTCTTGCAATACGAGTAGTTGGTTTCCAGAACGAATTATGCTCGCAAGCCAAGGTATTACTGCATAGTACATTTCTAAAGTTCCCTCTAGCTCTCTTTTGACTGATCCTATTTTCTAGTGAAAAAAGGTGGCAAGATTATCATCAGCTGACAGAAGGATGGGGAGGATGTTCTGGGCGTCTCAGGAGAGAAGAGAAGAGAAACATTTTAAGAGAGCAGGAAAGGGAATGAACTCGAGAGATGTAACAGGGTGGCTGAGCAGCAGGAAGGGACCTTTTGAGGTCAGTGATCGTGAACATGACAGGGAGCTGGGGGGGGCGTTCACTCAAGTTATCTATGTTCTTCTCCCGCCGTATTTACTGGTATATCATGTTTAGGTGACTGGTAATGGAGAAGCGTAAAGATATAGAACAACAAGTATTTTCTTCATAACTGTTGTTAAAATTTAGGTTTTCATTTTGGATTTTTTTTGAAATTTATTGATACATTGATTTTATTTTTGATTACTATAAAATATCACATACGCCTATAAAAGTAAAAAATACTGAAATGCTAAATATGAAAGCCCAGGAGAATCCCACACACATCATTTCCCCCTCCACTTCCTGGCAGATTTTCCCTAATTGTCCCTCATCGATTCGTGCCCCTCCTCCTCCTTGTATTCTGCAGTATGTACAAGTGAGGGGTTTGAAGCAGTCTTTCAAACGCTACCAAATTTCTGGCATATTCACCCTCCACTACAACCTTGCCTGCTTGGCCCCATCCAGTCGAATGCTTGGTTATTGTTCAGCTCGTCATTAAGCATTAAAAATTCCACTCAGGTAATCCTGCAGTGGGAGGATGAATTCTGGCTTAAAGAATGACCTCTAAATCTAAGGTGTGGAAAGAATGCACTAAGTAGAATGGTGATTAGCAAAATACTGAAAACAAAGAAGAGAAAGTTCATGTGATTATCCTGTTGTTGTGTGCATTATAAAGAATGTTACTGTTTGTTAAATGATAGGTTTATCAGACTGATAAAATACATCTGGACAAAAAACAAACAAACAAAAAAACAAACAAAAAACAAACACAAATTGCTTCCATAAAAAACCATTCTGTTTCAGTTCTCCATGATACAGGAGAGAGATGCAAGAATAAAAATTACCTTCCACTTAAGAAATGAGTTAAACTGGGAAGAGATTTGTGAAATGTCTTATTATAGAACTTTTTAAGAAAGAAAACTCTGTGATCAACTATAGAAAACATTCATAAAATGAGTGGCACATGGTGGATAATCACATCGGGTCATTAGTTTAATTTTGGAAAAATTCTAAATAAAAGGAAAATAGTCTTCCATAAACTCTAGCATAACCATGTCAGCAGTGATATAGATAAGTGGATAAATATTAAAAAGAGGAACTAGCACAGCTTCGGTCTTGGCAACCCTAAAACAGCTGTGAAGCAAAACACAAAATCGTATTATCATTGCCCTCATTTCACAGGCAACGAGGGTAATAGAAGTTAATACGAAAGGCCAATGAGGCAAACACCACAATTAAAATAGCAAATATTCATGTTTCTGGCCATTACTGGTACTCTTCACAATGAGCCCTGTATGTAATATTAAAAAGTCCGTGCTAAATCCTTTCTCGGGTACTTCGAGAACAGCTTACCAAAGCTGACCCTCAAACAACTTCCCCATTTGCATACAACTTTGAATTAACTAATGCAGTTACAATTTTATATTCCTGGGAGATAAGCAATATCAGACTAATTCGAAACTAAAACAAGATAATGAAACAATGGAAGGAATTGGAAGTAGGAAAGGAAAATGGAGAAGAGACCCAAAGGCCACTTTCTGTAAGTCGAAGGATCCTTCTAGAACCTATGCACAGGGTTCAGAAAAGCAATCTTAACAGCAAACTGCAAAATTAAACTCAGCTACTTATGGATCAGTCTCATTGACTGTCAGGGAATTCCCAGTAAATACACTTGTGTTATTGGCTCTGGAGACCACATGAATTTTTCATACAAGAAATCATTAAAA